ACAATCAGAATTTCCTTTCTGTTGAAACAATTCTTCCAAGCCTTCAGGTCTACTACCCGATGGAAAAAAGACCTTTGTTTCTCTTAAACTTATCGGTGCTGTTGCTTTAATTTAGTGCTTCATTTGAAATGCACAGATACAGTCTATTTTTCTAAAAACAATAGTTGTTTAGTAATGGAGTTATGCTGCATTACTGAAAGGCTGTCGTAACACATTCATTGCTAAAAATAATAAGAAGCACTGCCTTGCAATAGCCACTCCCTCATATACCCAGGGGCAAAGCTATAAACATTGATGCAGATTAGGGTTTCAAATTTACTTTGCCACTGAATACCCACAAAGAAAAAGAAAGCTAAGGGGTAAAAATATATGTTCATTTTGAACTATTTCAAAATCACTGTCTTCTTAAAATATTTACAAACCCCAACAGATATTACTAAGGTCATGGCCGTATTCTGAGCACACATATGTTTGGAGAAAGAATCAGGTATTCATAGGAGTATGGGTATGAGTACTCATTTTTTCTAATATAGGAAGAAGTTTCTTTGGTGAAAGCTCACTCTGAGACCTGAATTTTTCAGTTTGATTTCTTACCTGGTCATATTTAGCTGGTTTTCATTCCAAATTATATGAACAACTGCCAAATTTCCACTTTGATTCACTGTGTGGCAATATTCTGCATGTGGCATATAAAATAATATACTATTCTTTAAATTTTACATTTCAAGTTTTTGGGACTTCAATAATTTTTTCAGATAATGTCATGAGTTGGATTATTTTACAACTTGAGTGATTCACACCTCTCATAAAGAAAAATGAAAAAAATAATACCGATCGGTGAAATTTAAATTTTATGGTCAACAACTGGACTTTCACCTTAAAATATGATGCCCCGTATTTATAGCATAAAGTTAAGAACAAAAATTAAAAGTGCAGTCTGCTTTGGGGTCGGCTAGGCTAAGTGCCTTGATGTACCATCAAACCTCATACTACACGTTGTACTTAAATCACAGTTAAACCTAATTTTTGTCATGACAAAATTTGCTTAAATATCAGTCACAATAACCAAAGAAATTAAAGACAGACAATGCCAGTCTATCAGTCAGTGCTACAAGTTCCTCCACACATGCCAAGAGAAATTTCCTATGAATGAGTTTGTAAGAAGCTCTTTCGAGACCTCTTGAAGCATGCGACAGGACATCACACTCAGATGGATATCTTCACCTTCTGTCTGTTATTGCTGTGGTCTCTGTTTAATCCCTTTAGCATCCTGCTGAAATGAAGTTTATAAACAGAAGTTTGGGAATGGATCAACACCAATACTGTCAAATATCTCTGTCAACACTCTAAATCCTTCAGTCTACTTCCACCTTCTGAATCTGCAAATTCCTCTATGCCCTCTTATTTTACAAAAGGAAGGTCACAGATATGCTAGTATCTAGGCTACCTCGAAACTGTGTATTGTTAAAGACAAAACAATTTTTTCACTATGATCAGAAATCAAAGGCAATTAGAGTGACTTTTCCAGCCAAGTAAAGATGAAAAACAACTACTTCCTATAAAGAAATAATTGATACATGCTCTCTGACTTAACTCTTTGTGTCCAAGTAAATAGCAGAGAATGTAAATTTCATTTTAGCTTTTCCTCTCTTGTAAAAATATAACAAGCCAAAATATTCTACACACATCTATTCCAAATTTTTCTTCTTGTCATCTGTATGTTATCATTTTTAAAGGTTTGAGTCATACGAATTGAATTGGTGTAATAATATCTTTATACTAAATATTTCACAGAGACTCATGAAAAAACTCATTTCTGAAAGATGAATACGGTATTAAATATATTTCTCAATCTTAGAACTAGACATTGACACGAATTCAAGAGAAAACTAAACTCAGAAAGTTGTGATTATTTCACCTAAGCTAAAGTTGACTTGTACATAACACGAAAATAGTCTTTTAAATATGAAGGAGGAAAAGTTTAACATTCTTATAATAATTAAATACATGTCAATAATTACAAAGTAGTCTCATCTATTCATTAGGACAGACCATGGAGGATTTTTACTTGAAAACATTAAAAGCTAATTTTAAACTTTTCATAAAAGTTTGTATGAAATAATTGAACTCTCTTTTTCCTGGTTTTTCACTAATCCAAACTGGAATTCCTACACTTAGCTTTTTAGTAAGGTTTCAGAGTACAGGAATTTCTCTTTTTCTTTGTTTACTTAAAATAAAATCACCATTCAGACTCTCCATTAGTTACTAGAGTATCATTGCTAAATAACACATTATGCTCAAAAATCTGGCTTTTGCAGACATATTTTCAACTAATACTACTAATAGCTGGAATCCACACAATAAAGTTCACTACTCTCCAAATTCCAAACACATCTCCGCTCTGTAAAATAGGGAAGTGCGGGGGGTGGGGTGGGGGGGGTTAGGAGAAAAAGAAACTCTATGAGGTTACCATCATGTTCATCCTCTTTGGCTGGCCACACAAGGAAACATAAAATGCCAACAATCAGTGATCCAAATAAATTGCAGGCTAGGCAGTACCTAGGGTGGCTGCAGATCAGTTTTCCAAATTCGTTTTATTCATACATCCTTTCTTTAAAGCCACTGCTTTGCAGTTTTCAGAATAAGATGACAGAGGTGGACAGAAGAATTCAGAAGGTAATGAAGTCAGTTAGCTGAGAAAAAATGAGAGGCAGTCCTTCTGAAGAAAAAAGTATATCATTGTGATGCTATCTTGAAACATGTATTCATTCAAAAGAGAATAAAGGCAGCTTTTATTTTCACAGTTCTAGATATTGCCAAAATTGTACACTAGAACCAAGATACTAAAAGGAAACTTGGTGGAATTTATTTTCGTATGGCAAACTCGCTCCTGGCAGCTCAGTATACTGCCAGGAAGCTCTCATAAAGTGGAATCCATTTCTAAAGGAGTTTTGATATTCCCTTTACCCAATTGGAAAGTTAAAAGATTAGATGCAATCGGTAAGAGTTGATCTTTCTGGGGGTGTTGATACTTTTGTCCGCAGAACCCAAGATCGGGGACATTTAACTGTTTGGTCTAACTTTTCTAAATTAACTGGGGGAGAGGGAGAGAAAGCAGAAAGGTGAGAGAATTTTCCCCCAGTTTTCTCCTCCCACCTCTATAGCCCATTCCCAAGGTTCTGAATTAAAACTTGTGTTCTTTCACGTATTAACGTCCCGGTGGTTTGAATAGCTGGGAGAGTCAAAGAGTTTAAATTTAGCTGTGTTTTACTTTCCACTTCAGCATAGAAACAAGAAGCTGTCTCATCAGATGGAGAAATACCACCTTCGTGTAAATGACAGCTTTTCAGATATACAGAAGACAACTTGCTCCAATCTATGGGCATATTTTAAAACCACAGACTGTTTATTTTTCTTCCTTGACCTTGGATTTGCGGGGAGAGGGGACTGTTTTCCTGCCTAAATTAGAGATTGATATTCACTTCCTTTAAATTCCTGTGCAGCCAGTACCTTTCTTAGCTTCATCGAGGTTTTTACAAACTGTTTCAAGTAAGAGGAGATTGAGAAATGTGGACAGAAACCAGCCTTAGGCACTGGCATCACATTCTTTTCATTTTCTTAGTTCAAAAGGTAGGAAATCGCTGCTCCTATAAATCCTTTTCAAAAATAATTAACATTTTGCTGAGCCTTGCTGGATTCGGAGAAATTGTCGTTATTTTCTCCTAAATTTGTGGGGAAATCCAAATTCTTCTAGTCCTATGGCCAAAGTCAAATAAAAATGTCAAAATGAGCGGGTACAGGGCATAGGAGCTGGCTACGGGGAAGTGAGCGAGGACTAAACTCAAGCTTCCGAGTGCTGGCTAGACGTGCGATCCGCTGCTCGCCTCCGTCGCTCTCCCCACGCTGTTTTGCGGGCCACCTGTCACGCTGCCGAGGCTGGGCTGAGCGGGATGGAGCGCGCGCCGCGACAGATGCTCCAGCGACAGGTGCTCCGGCCCAGAGATACCCTAACTGGAGGAAGCCAAAGAAGAACTTCTGCGTCCAAGGATGGACAGCGGGACCTGCGCGAAAGGAAGGAGTGTGACCCGCGGTGGCCGCGTCTACTGGCAGCGATCTCTCCGGGGCGCGGTGGCTGCTTGGGCACTCCGGCTCCTGCGGTGTCCTTAGTCCTGACCCCGGGCGCACAGGCCGGGCAAGGCCGATCCAGGTCCTGGCGCCTGGCAGGGCGGAGTGGCCCCCACCAGCTGGAGTGCCCCGCGGGGGCGAGCGAGGCTGAGACTTGAACACCCACTCCCCACGCCCAAGAGGGCGTATTGTGGCTCTCTGGGTGACGGTTCACTCTTTTGCCCAGAGGATATACAGATAAGCGGTTGTGGCCCTTCTCCAAAACTCCCGGGTGGGGGGTGGGGGGGGAGGCAGGGTTGGAGTAGGGGTGGGAAGGACGTTCTGCTTCACCTGTGCGCCTAAATCCTCGGAGGCTCCAGCAGCCTGCCGAGCTCAGCCACACGGCAGCCCGGCCCCTAAAAAGAGGCTCGCCTAACACTGGACTAAGTGTCTTTATTTTTTTTAATTTTCTTTAAAATAAATTACATCATAGTTAATTAAAGAAACTCTCTAATCGCTCAGGAGGGCTATTTATAAACCGAATTGGAGACGTGAAGCCATTACTCATTTACAATTCGGGCAAAACCAAAAATTCAACCCGGAAACACTTTGGCTTAAAATATTCAAATTTTGAAAACAAATATATCTTTAAGGGTGCATTTGTTCCCACTTTGATAGCCTGAGAATCGATGTTAGACTTTTTGTTGCGTTTAAACTGGGGAATAACTAGAGTTCGCTTGCGTCAGCAATCCACACTGCCTCTTCCTTGGGTCTGGGCTCTCAATGTTCCCAGCCTCGGCCCCCGCCTCCCACCCCCAGGCCAGCCCGCCAAGTCTGGCCCACCACTATTCCCCTAACGCCCCTTCCGCCGCCTGACCCATCCTAAAGTCGTACGACAGAGGACTCCGCTGTACCCCCACACCGCCGGAAGGATGGAGAGCGTCGCAGGAAGCAGGTCCGAGCCACGAGAGTTCTCAGGGCGGGAAAGAGAACCGAGATGCATGTTTCACATTGAAGCGCATCCTCTTTCACCTAGCTCTAAAACGAAACAGAAAATCGCAGCTGCTGTATCAAGGGCTGAAGAGGCAGCGAAGGCCCTCTCCGACCTCCCCGCAGTTCCTAGGATGATTGCTCTCGCAGCCAAGGAGTCCTGTCCCCGAAAGTTACCGAAACTTTAAAGGACGCCGGCCAAGGAGACCCGGGGCGGCCCGAGGCAGGGTAAGGCCTCCTGGACTCCTCGAAAGCAGCTCGCACCGGGAGGAGCCAGAGGCGGGGCGTGAACAACGCGGACCCAGCGGGTTCGGGAGGAGGACATCACACAGAAAGGAGCGGGAATGGATTCTAGAGGGCCAGAAGGGACCGGCCCCAGAGAGTGGAATTGAGGTGAGGGAGCTGGCCGCAGGTGGACCCGGTCGGAGGAGGCGCAAAGGAGGTGGAGCAGGGCAGCGGGCACAGGCTTCAGCCACGTCTACTTTTCCCGCAGAGGGAGCTCCTCCGCGCCCGGGAGCAGTCCCCGGACTCCTCTGACATCCTGTCTGTGACGACCCGGATCTTCTAGGGGATTCCTGGGGCCAGCGCAGTCTCTCCCGGCACGTCGCCAGGAGTCGAGAGCACAGAATCTCTCCCGCCACGCCACCCCCCAGACGCACGCGCTCAACTCGCCAGTGTGAGGCCGGGGCTCTCCCGCAAACACCTTTCCCCACCACGCATGAACTTTCTCTATCTCTCCAAGTGTACGAGCCCCCATTCTCTTCCTCCCCCTTCTCTCCTGCTTTAGCCTGGGAAATCCCTACAATTCACCGTGCGAAGCCCAAGGGCTCAAGCTCGGGGCCGCGCAGTTCGCCGCAGCCTCGGTCACAAGCTCGCCGCAGAGGAGCCCGGTGAAACAGCGCCAGCCCCTCGGGCGCTTGTCCCTTGCTCATCCATTGCCTCCCCCTGGTCCCCGCCCCCCACCGTCCCCTCCCGTCCCCCACTGTCCGCCACCGTCCCCCACTGTCCCCCACCGTCCCCCAACCTTCCCCGTTCCCCCTCCCCCTTCACCCTCCCCAACCGCGGCCCGGGAGTGGCGTCAGCACGCCCGCCTGGCGTGGGGTTTAAATGCCCACTAGCGGGAGCCCGGGCGCTTCTATCCCGGAGCGCGGTGGGGACTGGAATTGCAGGGGCGGGAGGGGAGCGTGCAAGCGGGATCCCGAGCCGCGGAGCGCGCTGCCCTTCGCTCCACCGCCGTTAACTCGGGAGCTGGGGTCCAAGCGCCGCCCATGTAGCATCCCGGCGCTCCGCCGATCGAGAGTTGATAATAAAACCCTTAACCGTCTCCGCTGCGGGGAGCCATGAGCTGTCTGGATGTTATGTACCAAGTCTACGGTCCTCCCCAGCCTTACTTCGCAGCCGCCTACACCCCGTACCACCAGGTACGTGTCTCTTCCCGGCCGGGGCCTCGGAGACGCGTGGCGCGCCCCAGCTTCCGGAAGCACAGCCTGTACCCCGAGGTCCGCGGCGCCTCCGCGCGGGTCCCGGGCGTCCGACCAGCGGCGGGCGCCGCCCGGATGCGGGGATTGCCGCCGCTGCCACCCAGTGGGTTGAGCTAACCCCTTTAGCTTGCCCGTTTGCTCTCTCGGGAAGGCAGCTAAGCCCTGCTAATGCGTGCTCAGGTCTTGCTGGGACTAATCAGACGAGGATCGCGCGGGCTGGATTGTTTCCTTAGAGTCAGTCGGACTCCAGATTCTTCCGAGCCCGGTGCGGGTGCGGGGAGATGCGAGCAAAGCTCACGCAGGGAAAATAAAACTTAGGTCCCAAAGGTGAGAGTGACAACAATACAAAAGCGAAGGCCTGTCTCTCTTTCTGTCTGAGATGCAAAGACCCGCGTTGTCATCCCTGCAAGCTTATTATCTAAGGCATAATTTTTCTTCCGCTTCAATTCTCAGGCGATCAGGCCAATTTAATTCCAGACCCAGAGAATTCGTTTCAAAGAGAACCGCACGAACGCATTGGTTTTGTAATCTTTGCTTTTTAAAGTTCTGGGGAGTATTATTGTGATTCGATTGACCCAACCCAGCAGAGGCGAGCTTCATAGATAATATTTCGCTTTCTTGAGCGTAACTGAATCGCGCTGTCCTTCCTTCAACAAACCTACTTTTAAGAAGACCACTTAACCCCGGTTCTGCAAACGCTTCAAGTTTTCTGTAGTTATTCTATTCTCTCTTTTCTGCGGGCTGCATCTGGTCGACCAATTTTTCTTTCTGTTTCTTCAGCTGATGTACTAGAAACTGAGGATGGTAGTCCAGGAAAAGAACAAGAACATACACCTGGGGCCTTAGGAGTCCCCAGCAGGTCGCAAAGTGAGGGCTTGGACTCCTGCTTCGGGGAAATTGAAATATATCCCAAAGCTGAGTCCTTGCTTGTGCCAATTTTGCTTGCAAATTCAGAATGTCTATTGGAAAATGCCTTGATGAATTAGTGATGGAATGGGTAGGTTTTGAGTTTTGCTTTTTTCCCCCTCCTCCTCTCCATTTTTAAACTTTCCAACCAGAAGTTTGTTTCATCTCAAGGTTAATTTTAGGAATCACCAGAGTCCCTCATTGTAAGCCAAGTGGGAATGTGGTGGAAGTGGTGATATTGCTAAATAAATATTCAGTGTCTGAGATGAGCTCCTTCCCAGGCTGGGACTATTGCGAAGATGAAAGAGGATTTGGTTTTTGTCTGTTTGGTCCTTTCTCCTCCCTTACCCTGGACCAATTTATTGCATTAAGATCTCTGTTCAGGGCCCCCCTTTGAGGCCGTCTCTGCCTGCATAATGCTTTAACATTGCATTTCCGTGCATTGCTCATTTCTAAGAAAATGTTTTCAGCACTCCAATTGGTTTTTTAAATCACTATCAGTCAATTTAGCCAACCTCACAGCCAAGATCTTCTTCTCCTTTTTATCACTTGTTTCCTCAATGTGCATAGAGATGGTGACCATAGAAATGCTCACAGCCCACTGGTTTTTCTTTACTCAGAGGAAGATCTCTTTAAAAACTGAGATAGACTTTTAAACGGACACTTTATGGGTGATCAAATAGTTTGCATTTATTAAAATGATCCATGTCGTGATGTTATTCAACATTTTTTCCCCGTATGATTCTTTCCTAAGTGAAACTATTTCAAACCTTCTGCCACAGTTCTTTCTTTCCATCCTGGTGGTGGGGAGTGGATTTTGGCATTTTCCAGTTCCATCATGAAGATGCTTAATACTGCATCTTGTGAGTCTGCCCCAGATTCTCAGGCACAGAACAGTCAGGCCCTAACTGGACTTGGGTGCCCTTTGCCTTGGAGCCTGATTTTAAAAATATATCTACCCCAGGCCTGGCTCTGTGGTCAAACTCAGCTCATAACCTGGCTGCTTAGGCATCTTCCAGGACCTTCACCCTGACACCTTCAGAGAACTTTCCCTGTGGCCTGGCAGCAATTCTGGGAAGACACAGGCACCAAGAAGGGCAATCTGCCTCCCAGGAAGCCCATCCTTGTTTGGCTGCAGGTTAAGGAGGCCGCTGACTGTGCAGCCCACGTTATTGAGCACAGGGCTTAGGCACTGAGGCCAGTTGCCCCCTGGATACCTTAGGGATCCGGATAAGGAAGTGCAGTCTGAATCCAAATTGCCGTCTCTTTTGAAATTGACTATTGTTTCTCTGTTTGAGCAGAAACTAGCCTATTACTCCAAAATGCAGGAAGCCCAGGAGTGCAACGCCAGCCCCAGCAACAGCAGCGGCAGCGGCAGCTCCTCCTTTTCCAGCCAAACTCCGGCCAGTATAAAAGAAGAAGAAGGCAGCCCGGAGAAAGAGCGCCCACCAGAGGCAGAGTACATCAACTCCCGGTGCGTCCTCTTCACCTATTTCCAGGGGGACATCAGCTCCGTGGTGGACGAGCACTTCAGCAGGGCCCTGAGCCAGCCTAGCAGCTATTCCCCAAGCTGTACAAGCAGCAAAGCACCGAGGACCTCCGGGCCCTGGAGGGGTGAGTTTGGGGTCCTACTGGCAAGGGTGGATAGAGAGCCCTTTAGCCTGGGGCCCTCCCACAGGGACTTGAGGAGATGCCGCTAAAAGAATACTAGGTGTCAGAGAAAAGGTGACGAGGGGACGGTAAAGAAATAGGTCCAGGCATAAGACGTCTCCTTGAAGAAGCAGAGCAGAGCAGTGACCTACCCATGGAACTGAGGGGCCTGGGTTTGTGCATTGGCTCTACCACTTCATAGCAGTATGACTTGGGCAAGTCTCTTAACCTCTTTGAGGTCACTCTATTTACTGGCCTCTAAAATTAGAATAATACTTGCCTTCTTAACTATTGCTGGAGATGACTACGAGACAAAACAGAAAAATGTCTGTCAATGAGCTGTGGAAATGTGAGGTTTCCAGCACTCTCCCAGCCAGAGGGGGGGAACAGGATTTCAACCAAAACTTAAAGCGCCCTCTTTCACCAGTTTCTGAACATTTGCCCAGAGGAAAAAGTCCTAGATCCTGCTGCAAGTAAAATGTGCTCAAGAACGTCTCCTATAACCTACCTATGCCTTTTGCCAGATTTCGGTTGCTTGGGAAATCTTGAAGCAGAAAATGTCTCTCAATAAGCAACTAAAGTAATGAAGAAATAAGAGCTTAGGCACAGCTGAGCCATCTCTAAGGGTTTTCCTTAAACACACCCCCTCTTTACTGTTCTGTGTTTCTCACAACACATCGCTTTACCTTGCCTGGGACAATGATTTCTTGGACGAGTCAACTAAATCTCCCTTCTGTTCTGAAATCTCAACCTCCTTTTATTTCCGAGACGAGGTGAGGGTAACTACTTGGTAAAGTTTCTCACCAAGCTGAGAAATGAGAACTTTGTTGTATAACGGGAAACAAATATTACATTGGGAGGGAAATGACAACCCTCACCTACCCATTTTTTCTTAAGAGTCTGACCGTTTGTGCAAGCCTTGCCTAGACAAGATCCAAAAAACATTAGTTTTGAATACACAACATTCTTTTTATTCTCCAGTTGCCTATTTTGACAGGAAGACAGTTCACTGCTTTCGAATGCATTGTTGAAGCATTTTTTATTTTCTAGTGTGTGGTGCAGATGCCTTCCGTGGAGGATGTGCTCTGTAAATCCCCTGAATTAAATGTCTTTCTTTCCCTCCCCACTAAAGGCAACAAATTTGATCTAAATGCTGTTCGCTTAAAATGCTTCCAGGCACTAGGGGTCAACAGCGATACAGTAATAATTATTATTCCTGGCGTCTGCTTTAGTACAGGAAGTTTATTAATTACAACTTAAAGACTTGTCCCTTCGTGTCCCTCTATGTAAATAATACAGCTGCCCTTTGAATATGTCTAGTTTACTCTTTTGCTTGAGATCTTGGAAAAAGATATATTTGAAAGAAGGTTTCTAGAAAGGAGGCTAATAATAGCAAGACTTTGAAATATGTCGATGGACTTCCAGTCTATCAGAGGCCTTGGAGGGGCACATTTTCTGGAGCAAGGGAGACTGAAACGCGAGAGGCGGTAGTGAGATCGCTAGGCGGCCGACCAAGAGTGGGAAGAGGCATCTTTAGCTTGAGGAGAAGGCTGCGGTCTGGGAAAAGGGAGGCCGTGTCTGCCCTGCGGCTGCCGCGGCATCTCGGCCCGCATTCGCCCGGGAGCTCCCTGCGCCCCCAAAACTAGGGCTGGGGTGGGGTGTCTCTCCGCTCTTCCTCTCCCAGCCTGTCTCCCGCACTGGAGACGCGTCTGCAAAATCCGAGGCAGCGGCCTTCCTCCCCAAGGGGCTGCCCCGATTTTGCTGTGCCTCGACCTCGCATCCACAGGCTGCAGCCCGCTTAGAAAGGCGCCACCCCAGGGGCCAGGCTGCCCGTGCGCTCCCCGCCGCGGCCTGCGCGCCCGGCGCGCTCAGCTCTCCTGCCGTGTGGGGTCAGCACCCCGTCTCCCTGCGGTGACATGCTCCT